GTGACTATTACACTGACAATGTTGTGAAACACTTTAGGAATGTCATAAAGGAACGGGAGGTACAGGCCTCTATGGACAGATATGTTGTGCGACAGAAGTCCAGTGACTCAAGCTGGTCCTAGTGGCATTAAAAGAAGAAGGGAAGTAACCCCAGAAAAGGACTTGCCACCTCAAGTCCTAATGGAAGGGGATTCCCCTTCTAAACACTTAACACCATCCACTCTCTCCCCTCCTCCCATCCCTTCAATCATCACCAGATCTTCAATAAAGGTAAGTGTCATGTAATTGTGCATGTCTTCTTCAGTTTGTGTGTATTAAAATTAACATTTCAGGCGGTAATTTTTTTTTTTTCCAATACTGTGGGGTGTCAGGAACGGATTAATTTGATTTCAATTATTTCTTATGGGGAAAATTAACTCAACTAACAATTATTTCGACTAACGATGAGCTCTCAGGAATGGATTAATATCGTTGGTCGAGGGTCCACTGTACTCAGATTACAACCTGATCAAGGTTCAGACATGTATGCGCAGAGCCCCAGACCGACAAAACGAGATTAGTCACGAGGGAGATTTCACCAAATTCAACTTCAATAACAAGAACATAAAGTGGGACCAAGTAAACCAAGTCCTAAACAATATAAGATGGGAAGATAGACTAAGCAACACAGACCCCAACTTATGCCTAGAACAGATTAACTCGGTGACACTCGATGTATGCTCAAGGCTTATTCCTTCAAGAAAAAGGAGGAGTAGATGTAAAATAGAAAGAGACAGGCGCTCCCTTTACAGGCGACAGAAAAGAATAACAGAGCAGCTAAAAGAGGTCAATATATCTGAAATGCGTAGGGAGTCACTGGTCAGAGAAATAGCAAACATCGAACTTAAGCTAAAGGAATCTTATGGGAGTCAGGAATTGCGGAAAGAACTAAAAGCCATAAATGAAATCGAAAGAAACCCAAAGTATTTCTTTTCCTATGCCAAATCCAAGTCGAGAACAACATCCAGTATTGGGCCCCTACTTAAACAAGATGGGTCCTACACAGATGACAGCAAGGAAATGAATGAGCTACTCAAGTCCCAATATGACTCAGTTTTTAGCAAGCCACTAACCAGACTGAGAGTCGAAGATCAAAATGAATTTTTTATGAGAGAGCCACAGAATTAGGTTAACACAAGCCTATCTGATGTTATCCTGACGCCAAATGACTTCGAACAGGCGATAAATGACATGCCCATGCACTCTGCCCCAGGGCCAGACTCATGAAACTCCGTGTTCATCAAGAACTGCAAGAAGCCTCTATCACGAGCTTTTACCATCCTATGGAGAGGGAGCATGGACACGGGGGACGTCCCACAGTTATTAAAAACAACAGACATAGCCCCACTCCACAAAGGGGGCAGTAAAGCAATAGTAAAGAACTACAGACCAATAGCACTAACATCCCATATCATAAAAATCTTTGAAAGGGTCCAAGAAGCAAGATCGCCACCCATCTAGATAGAATTCAATTACACAACTCAGGGCAACATGGGTTTAGAACAGGTCGCTCCCGTCCGTCTCAACTATTGGATCACTACGACAAGGTCCTAGATGCACTAGAAAGCAAAAAGAATGCAGATGTAATATATACAGACTTTGCAAAAGCCTTCGACAAGTGTGACCATGGATAATAGCGCACAAAATGCGTGCTAAAGGAATAACAGGAAAAGTTGGTAGATGGATTATAATTTCCTCACAAACAGAACACAAAGAGTAGTCAACAGAGTAAAGTCCGAGGCAGCTAGGGTGAAAAGCCTGTTCCACAAGGCAAGACTCGCCTCCATTTGTTTCATCCTCCTTCTGACATAGACAAGGATGTCAGCCACCAGCACGTGTTTTCCCTTTTGCATATGACACCCAAATCTGAATGAAGTGTTCCCATTGCAGACACTGCAAGGCTCCAGGCGGACATAAAATCAAATCTTTCAATGAGCTGCAGAAAACAATGAAGTTCAATGATGAAAAATTCAATACTCCGATATGGTAAGCAATGAGGAAATTAAAATTCATCAGAGTACAAAACAAATTCCGGGCACAAAATAAGCGAAAAACCAACGTCAAAGACCTGGAAGTGATCATTCGGATGGATCTCGCGTTCAAGGACCATAACATTTGATCAATCGCAGCTGTTAGAAAAAATGGCAGGATGCTATAATGAAACCTTCAAAACTAAGGATGCCAAGCATGATGACACTTTCATGTCGCTTGTTCTATCTAAAAGCTGGAGAATATTGCTGCACACTAACAGCACCTTTCAAGGCAGGTGAAATTGCTGACCTAGAAAATGTACAGAGACCTCACGGTGCGCATATACGGAGATAAAACACCTCAATTACTGGGAGCGCTTGAAGTTCCTGAACCTGTATTCCCTGGAACGCAGGAGGGAGAGATACTTGATTATATACACCTGGAAAATCCTAGAGGGACTAGTACTGAACTTGCACACGAAAATCACTCACAACGAAAGCAAAAGACTTGGCAGACGATGCAACATCCCTCCAATGAAAAGCAGGGGTGTCACTAGCACATTAAGAGACAATACAATAAGTGTCAGGGGCCCGAGACTGTTCAACTGCCTCCCAGCATACATAAGGGGGATTATCAACAGACCCCTGGCAGTCTTCAAGCTGGCACTGGACAAGCACCTAAAGTTGGTAGCTGACCCGCCGGGCTGTGGCTCGTACGTTGGATTGCATTCAGCCAGCAGTAACAGCCTGGTTGATCAGGCTCTGATCCACCAGGCCGCCTGGTCACAGACCGGCCCGCGGGGGCGTTGACCCCCGGAACTCTCTCCAGGTAAACTCCAGGCAATCATGTCTCTCTCCCGCCTGCGTTCCAGGGAATACAGGTTTAGAAACCTCAAGCGCTCCCAGTAATTGAGGTGTTTTATCTCCGTTATGCGCACCGTGAAGGTTCTCTGTACATTTTCTAGGTCGGCAATTTCACCTGCCTTGAAAGGTGCTGTTAGTGTGCAGCAATAGATAGTCTAGATAGAACAAGCCTACACCACCACTGTTGGAGCCAACACCACCACCACCACTGATAAAGCCTACACCACCACTGTTGGAGCCTACACCACCACTGTTGGAGCCAACACCACCACTGATGGAGCCTACACCACCACTGTTGGAGACAACAACACCACCACTGATGGAGCCTACACCACCACTGTTAGAGCCAACACCACCACCACCACCACCACTGATGGAGCCTACACCACCACTGTTGGAGCCAACACCACCACCACCAGTGTTGGAGCCTACACCACAACTGTTGGAGCCAACACCACCACCACTGTTGGAGCCTACACCACCACCACTGTTGGAGCCTACACCACCACTGTTGGAGCCAACACCACCACCACCACCACTGTTGGAGCCTACACCACCACCACCACTGTTGGAGCCTACACCACCACCACCACCACTGCTGGAGCCAACACCACCACCACCACTGTTGGAGCCAACACCACCACCACCACTGCTGGAGCCAACACCACCACCACCACTGCTGGAGCCAACACCACCACCACCACTGCTGGAGGCGACACCACCACTGATGGAGCCAACACCACCACCGTTGGAGCCTACACCACCACTGTTGGAGCCAACACCACCACTGTTGGAGCCTAAACCACCCCTGTTGGAGCCTAAACCACCCCTGTTGGAGCCTAACACCACCACTGTTGGAGCCAACACCACCACTGTCGGAGCCAACACCACCCCTGTCAGAGCCAACACCACACTGTTGGAGCCTACACCACCACCACCACTGTTGGTGCATACACTACCACTGTTGGAGCATACACCATCACTGTTGGAGCCAACACCACCACTGTTGGAGCCTAAACCACGACTGTTGGAGCCAACACTGCCAATGTTAAAGCCTACACCACCACTGTTGGAGCCAATACCACCACTGTTGGAGCCTACACCACCACTGTTGGAGCCAACACCACCATTGTTGGAGCCTACACCACCACCACCACTGTTGGTGCCTACACCACCACCACCGTTGGTGCCTACACCACCACTGTTGGAGCCTACACCACCACTGTTGGAGCCTACACCACCACTGTTGAAGCTTACACAACACTGTTGGAGACAACACCACCACCACCACCACTGTAAGAGACACCACCACCACCACTGTTGGAGCCAACACCACCACCACCACCACTGTTGGAGCCAACACCACCACCACCACTGTTGGAGCCAACACCACCACCACCACTGTTGGAGCCACCACCACCACTGTTGGAGCCAACACCACCACCACCACTGTTGGAGCCAACACCACCACCACCACCACCACTGTTGGAGCCAACACCACCACCACCACTGTTGGACCTAACACCATCACCACCACTGTTGGAGCCAACACCACCACCCACTGTTGGAGACACCACCACCACTGTTGGAGCCATCACCACCACCACCACTGATGGAGACAACACCACCACCACCACTGTTGGAGCTAACACCACCACCACCACCACTGTTGGAGCCATCACCACCACCACTGTTGGAGCCAACACCACCACCACCACTGTTGGAGACACCACCACCACTGTTGGAGCCATCACCACCACCGTTGAAGCCTCCTCCAACACCCGTGATTGAAGTCTCCTTGACCAGTGTTGGAGCCTTCTACACCAATGTTGGAGCCTCCACCGCCACCGGTGTTGGAGCCTCCTCCTCCACCACCAGTTGGAGCCTCCACCACCAGTGATGGAGCCACCTCCTCCACCAACAGTGTTGGAGCCTCCTCCACCACCACCAGTGTTGGAGGTTCCACCAACAAACACCCCGGGTACAGCAGCTCACAAAACACGCCAACACACAAGTCCACCACCAGTGTTGGAGCTCCTCCCTCACTGCTGACCTTCACCACCAACGCAGGTCTCCCTCAGCAGCGCCACAGCAGTGTCAGCAGCGCCACAGCAGCCACTAACTCACCTCAAATAAGAGTGTCAGCAGGAGCGACCAGGCGCCATTTTTCCCCCCAGGCTGATGACGTCATCAGCGTCAGCAGCGAGCGCGGGGCCACAACAACACGCGCGCGCGCGCCCGCCCGCCCCACACCATATATACCTTCTACACACATATATACCTTCAACACACACACACACACATATATAGATATATATATATTATATATATATATATTATATATATATATATATATATATATATATATATATATATATATATATATATATATATACCTTCAACACACATACTTTCAACACACATATATACCCTCAACACACATATATACCTTCAACACACATATATACCCTCAACACACATATATACCTTCAACACACATATATACCCTCAACACACATATATACCTTCAACACACATATATACCCTCAACACACATATATACCTTCAACACACATATATACCCTCAACACACATATATACCTTCTGTGGAAAATTTTATAGGGTGATTACCTTTATGTACCTCAACATTATATACATACAAGTCATCTCATTGGGAGACAACCATATTGTTTACCGTAGTCACCCCGTGTAGAGTTTAGTTTAATATGTTTATTATGCACCCCATACCCATCCTGTAGGCGGTAGTCAAAAGATTACAGAGGTACATAATTGGTCCAGGGACTGGACTCCAAAGTTTTGATAGCTGAGCAAGTTACAAAGGTAATGAACTAGATCTGGTCATAATCATGACCAAGTTACAAAGGTAATGAGCTCCAGGTTGAGCTGGTCACACTCATGAATAATTGCAAAGGTAATGAATCATAAACACATTAATCATGAGAATTTACAAAGGTAATGAGCTCCAGGTAGAGCTGGTCACAATCATGACAAGTTTCAAAGGTAATGAATGATAAACACGTTATGACATGATTACAATCATAGACAAATTACAGAGTAATGAGCAGTTAACAAACATAGTAGGGAATTCATCCAATGCCCCAACAACAGATGTTGCTAGGTGCCTGTCTCTCCTCGGTAGACAGCCATTGCAAACAGCAGCAAGTTGCCCAGGGATCTGCTGCTCCGTTAGCAGCCCGATGGAGAGCTGCCCTAGGGACATGTCAGCGTCCTGGTGGACGCCAAGTTGATTGAAGATCCCAGGCCCTCGTGTGTATGGATGTTGAAGCTTGAGGAACTGAGTACACACTGCCTGTGGCACACCTGGCAGCTGCCTCGCGGTCGAACTCCACGATGCTGTCCCTGTAGTGGAAGTTCCTGTGAGCCCGGCATTCCCTGCGGCTGCAGTACCATCGCTGACATCGTGGGTTAGAGGCCCCCGTGTAGACATGTGAGAAAACTTAACCACCCCTGGTCACGACAGGTGGTTCCTTCGACCTCACAATCTTATCCATATCTATCCGAGACCAGTATGGATTGGATAGCACCCACAAGTACGGTGCTACTAATTAATTGTGGACTGTATAGATGATATTAGTGTAACTGAATGAAGGGGGGGTAGGTCACACATGGATATATCCATCAAGGAAAACACTTGTACATAATCTCTCCACTTACCAGATATTCTCTGGTGGTCACTTGATGTAGCTGGATCACTCATAACCTATCCAATTACAACATACCTAACTGGCCAGTATCAGTCTGTTATAACTAGGAGGGTTACTTAACTGTGGGTGATTGATACTCCTTATTTCCTCCATTCACCATCTCATTTCGATGTCCTGCTACACTGACACGGTTCTCATTCCAGCAGGACGAGGTATCCGTTGGTCTGTCCCGGTTTAGAAGTCGTGACTCAATGAACTTCACTATCCTCGATACGAGAATCACGCGTTCACTCGGAGCAGGGCGATCTATTTCACAACCCCGCATTCTCTTAACTTAATGTTATTATCACTGATTACATTACCATTCACAAGACGATTTAACGTCTCATAATTATTATACACATTAGAGGTCACTCCATTAAGATCTGAGGCCGATGAGTGAGGATTAACTCACGGGTATTTCCCCTGGACACACACCATGGCCGCGCACCAGTCACACCCGGTCGAACCATTATTCACTAATTTTACCACCTTATTACGGTGGTCCCGTGAATCACGTTCCCTCACTCTCCACCAGGAACAGTTACGACACTTCCTATTATGAAAGGAGGCCTATATTAATCCTTAGGCCGTGGTGAACGCCAATTTCCTGGTTCCATGCTTTCCCAGCCTCCTCACTACATTCAAAACACTCCCGCCTCCCTGTGCCCCAGTTCGACCTATACCCCCGCACATCCGCGCATGCGCAAAGGGAACTCTTGGTTCTATCCTATTGTCAAATACATTTTTGACTCATATCGACACATTAAACACCTATTAGGCACTATAGCTTCAGAAAATCAAAAAATTTTACACACCTTCAACACACACATATATACCTTCAACACACACACATATATATATATATATATATATATATATATACAGTGGACCCGCTTAACGATCACCTCAATATGCGACCAATTATGTAAGTAAAAATATTATTTTAATGTAAGTGCGTTTGATTACGTGTATGTTTGGGGTCTGAAATGGACTAATCTACTTAAATATTCCTTATGGGAAAAATTCAGGGTGACAGTACTGGCACCTGAACATTACTGAGTTTAACCTGGAGAGAGTTTCGGGGGTCAACGCCCGACGGCCCGGTCTGGACCAGCCTCTGGTGGATTCACGCCTGATCAACCAGCTGTTGCTGCTTGGCTGCACGCAAACCAACGTACGAGCCACGTCACGGCTGATCAGGAACTGACTTTAGTTTGTCAGTGCCACTTAAGACTGCCAGGGTCTGTTGGTAATCCCCCATATGTGTGCTGGGAGGAGTTGACAGTTACGCCCTGACACTATATGTATGTCTCTTAACTATACGGATTAAAAAATATTCGTTATAACCGGGGTCCACTGTATAAATATATAATAAATATATATATAATAATAATATATAATTTTTAGCATAAAAGCAAACACCACTCTGAAGATAGAGAATTCCAAGCGCTTTCCGTGCTACTCACAATATCAGGAACTGTAAAAATTGAGTAGTCGAAAGCACTTGATTTCTCTATACTTTAGTTGGTTGTTTTGCATATTTTGAATCACCAATGTTACTGTGACTTATTGCATATTATAATATTAGTTATATATATATTAAAATTATATATATAATATATAATATTATAATACCTCTCACAAACATATTTACCTCAACAATAATATACCTCAACATAATATATATATACCTCAACACATATACCTTCACTAACATTGTGGAGTTTTAGCAGTAATAGGTCAGAGTAACAAAAAAGTCATAGTGATAGTCTACAACAGGTCACATCCCAGCGTTCCAGTACAGCTGTTATGCCTGCTGGAAACCTTCCAGTTCCGCACCAAATCTTGCTCCTGGGGGATTTCAACTTAAGGCACCTAAAATGGAGAAATAGCAAATAATATTGTTGCAGTAATAACACCAGAGGCAGCTCTGATGAAACTACACTCACGCGAGCTATTAAATCTCTGCACAAAATCAATTTAACCAGCAAATAATAGAGCTACTAACTGGAGAATACATAGACCTCATTCTTCACTAACAATGATGATCTGATAAGAAAATACCATATCAAAAACAATAACTCAGATCACAAGCATAATTGGTTCAGTCATGTATGCGCGGAGCCCCAGACCGCTAAAATGAGATTATCGAACGAGGGAGCATTCACCAAATTCAACTTCAATAACACAACATTAAAGTGGGACCAAAGTAACCAAGTCACCGATATAAGCTGGGAAGATTACTAAGCAACACGACCCCAACTTATGCCGAACAGATTAACTCGGTAGCACTCGAATAGTATGCACAAGCTTTTCCTCTAAGAAAAAGGAGGAGTAGATGAAAACGAAAGAGACAGGCGCTCCTTTAAGGCGCGGAAAAGAAAAACAGAGCGGCTAAAAGAGGTCAATATATCTGAAATGCGTAGGGAGACACTGGTCAGAGAAATAGCAAGCATCGAACTTAAGCTAAAAGAATCCTTTAGGAGTCAGGAATCGCGGGAAGAACTAAAAGCCATAAATGAAATCGAAAGAAACCCAAAGTATTCTTTCTCCTATGCCAAATCAAAATCGAGAACAACGTCCAGTATTGGCCCCTACTTAAACAAGATGGGTCCTACACAGATGACAACAAGGAAATGAGTGAGCTACTCAAGTCCAATATGACTCAGTTTTTAGCAAGCCGCTAACCAGACTGAGAGTCGAAGATCAAAATGAATTTTTATGAGAGAGCCACAAAATTTGATTAACACAAGCCTATCCGATGTTATCCTGACGCCAAATGACTTCGAACAGGCGATAAATGACATGCCCATGCACTCTGCCCCAGGGCAGACTCATGGAACTCTGTGTTCATCAAGAACTGCAAGAAGCCCCTATCACGAGCCTTTTCCATCCTATGGAGAGGGAGCATGGACACGGGGGTCGTCCCACAGTTACTAAAAACAACAGACATAGCCCCACTCCACAAAGGGGGCAGTAAAGCAACAGCAAAGAACTACAGACCAATAGCACTAACATCCATATCATAAAAATCTTTGAAAGGGTCCTAAGAAGCAAGATCACCACGCATCTAGAAAACCCATCAGTTACACAACCCGGGGCAACATGGGTTTAGAACAGGTCGCTCCTGTCTGTCTCAACTATTGGACCACTACGACAAGGTCCTAAATGCACTAGAAGACAAAAAGAATGCAGTTTGTAATATATACAGACTTTGCAAAAGCCTTCGACAAGTGTGACCATGGCGTAATAGCGCACAAAATGCGTGCTAAGGAAATAACAGGAAAAGTCGGTCGTTTGGATCTATAATTTTCCTCTAAAACAAAAACACAGAGAGTAGTCGTCAACAGTAAAGTCCGGGGCCCACAAACGGTGAAAAGCTCTGTTCCACAAGGCACAGTACTCGCTCCCATCTTGTTCCTCACCCTTTATATCCGACATAGACAAGGATGTCAGCCACAGCACCGCGTCTTCCTTTGCAGATGACACCCGAATCTGCATGACAGTGTCTTCCATTGC